GAGAGAGAGAGAGAGAGAGAGAGAGAGAGAGAGAGAATATTGAATTTAATCATTTGAAATTATCATCATTATGATGATGATAATAATAATAATGAATAGAATTTACATGAACCGAAAGAAAAAGGAAAACAAACAAAACAACAACAACAACAAAATTGGATCATCATCATCATTATAAATATATAATTCAATTTCCTTTCTACAAATGATTCAAATTTTCCTTTTGTGTATATAAAGCTAATCAATGATGATGATGATGCTGTTTGAGAATTTTTCCTGGGAATTTTCTATTTTTATTTTTCCGTTGTTTAATTTAGAACGAGAAAAAATTACGGAAATTTTCTCTATTATCATTTGAAATTTTTCGCTTTCGGTAATCGACATCAAAATGAAATGAACGGGAGAAAAAAAACGGAATAATGAAATGTTTGATGATTTTCATTTTCAGAAAACTTTTCACTTTTTTTTCTTTCCTTTTTCCTTTTCTTCATTATCATCATCTTTATCTGGATCTTTTCGTTTCTTTTTTTTCAAAAAACTACAAAAACAACATCACTGATAATCGACAAAAAAGTGAATCAGAAAAAAAAAATAAAATCGATAAATCAACGAATTCAGTGATAAAAGAGTTTTGTGAAAAATTTTTTTTTTCTCATTAAAAATCATCAATCGACAACACTTTTTCTTTTCTGCAGATAAGAGAGAAGGCAAACATAAAAACTTTTTTTTGAAATCACAGAATCATATTGACGGGTATTCGACAGCCTGATGTTGTTGACGTTTGAAATGTTGTATTAACACTTTTTTTCCGATCAAAGGGTTTGTTGATGCTTGTTTGTTTGTTTGATCAGAATTTTTCCATCAGTTCGATTAAAATCCATTATCAATATGGTTGTGACATAAGTGTGTATATAGTCACTTGAATGAATGAATGAATTCAAAAAAAAGCAAAGAGAATGGATGTTTGTTTCGCTTAAAAAAAATTGTCTTCGCTTAAATTTGGCTTTAAAGCTTTCGCATTGTCATTAACCATGATAATTTTTTTTGGTCTAGATAAATTATTTCATTGTAATTTCACCAGATACAAACTTTTTAAAAGTTTTCAAACAAAAAAAATCCAAGATTTAAAAGTTTTAACATTAAAGTGATTCTTTATTTTCGGAAATGTAAAAACAATTCAATCACCTAGCCATTGTGTAACACACGAGCGATGCAAATGGAAAAATAAATCGAAAAGTTATGAATTTTGATGAATGAATTTTCGAATGTCAAAAGAGAGAGAGAAAAGGAAGCCACATTCCCCATTTGATGATGCATAATGTTGTTGTTGTTTTGCGTAAAAAAAGTTTCTTTTTTTCAAAGAAATTTCCTCGAAAAAAATCGATTAATCCAATCAATAAATAAATGAAGAAAATATTCATACATTTTTTGCTTGGTTCGGCGGCTGTTTGATGATGTTATTTTGCCAACGAAATTCCTCCCCCTTTCACCCACCGTCCTCTCTCTCTCTCTCTCTCTCTCTCTCTCTCTCTCTCCCTCTCTCTTTCTCTCTCTCTCTCTCTCTCTCCCTCCCTCTCTCTCTCTCTATCCNCAAGATTTAAAAGTTTTGGCATTCAAAGTGATCCATTTTTTTGTTTCGGAAATGTAAAAACAATTCAATTCACCTCACCCATTGTAGAATAACACACACGAGCGATGCAAATGAAAAAAAATAAATCGAAAAGTTATGAATTTTGATGAATGAATTTTCGAATGTGAAAAGAGAGAGAGAGAGAGAGAGAGAGAGAGAGAGAGAGAGAGAAAAGGAAACCACATTCCCTTTGTTGATGCATAATGTTGTTTTTTTGCGAAAAAAAGTTTCTTTTTTTCGACGAAAAAATCGATTAATCGAATCAATAAATAAATGAAGAAAAAATATTCATTCATTTTTTTGCTTGGTTCGTTGATGATGTTATTTTCTCCCTGCACATCCTCCCCCTTATTTGCATTCACCCACCCTCCTCTCCGATCGTTAAAAATTGCTTTTTTTTTGCTACAAATTTTTTTATTTGGAAAATTCGAAATTCAAAATTCAAAAAGTGAGAAAATAAAGGTGTTTTTGGATTTTTTGACACACACAAAACTTTGGAAAACACTTTGAAGGATCGGCTTTATTCGTTCGAAGTTGCTTCAGGTGTTGTTGATGATGATGATTGTTGTTTCGAAAAATCAATTGAATCAATAAATTCCTCCACTAAACCACGATATTCTTTCATCGATAATTTTGGATATTTTCGTAGAAAATGACCAACATTTCCATTTTCCAATAAATCTTTTTCAATTTTTTGTTTTTTTTCTTTGATTGTTGTCGGTGTTTGAGATTTTGATTTCAAACGCAATTTATTTTGAAAATAATTATAAATTTTTTCAATTTTTTCATCCATTTTTTCCCGATCATTTGTATCCAAATATAGTTTCCATTTTTGTAATGTATTCATTAATTGTTCAAACATTTTATGATTATCATTCGATATCATTGGTTGATGAAGTGTTAATAGCTTTGTTATTATTAAATAAATAACATTTAAATCAAAATTTGTTTCAATTGTTTCAAATGATTGTAGCCATTTTTTTTGTTGTTCAGTTAGTTTTGGTATTTTTTGTTTACAAATTATTTTATAAATCATACGATAATCAATTTCATCATCATTTGTTGAAGAATCATCATTTGTAGTTTGTTTACGAGAAATCATTGGTGAATAAGTAGTGGCTGGTGATTGATTTTGATTTGGATCCATCATCGGAAAAAAAGTATCAATTTTTTAGTTTCGCTACTTTTTGGAATTTTTTTTTTTTGCTACAATTTCACGGCAAGGTTAATATAGTGGACACAATTCTCGAATAATTTGTTTTTTCTCTCATAAATTTTTAATTTAATTTAATTTAATTAATTTTGGTTTTGTAATTAATTCTTTTGTTTCTGTTTTTGTTTTTCTAAATTTGTAACAGGATAATCAACAACAGCGACAACAACAGCAAAGAAATTTCCCGAAAATAAATCATTGGTTACCCACATCATCATCATCATCATCAACATTGCTACATTTATCATTAGATCCACCAATACAAACATTAGCTGATGCAACATTTAAATTATTACGAAAACAATATTGGTTTGATGCCTTATTAATTATTGATGAATCAATTATATCTGATCAATTTGCAAGACGTTTAAGTTTACTTTGTAATTCATTTCGTTTTGATTATGAACAACAACAACGACTATATCGACATCAACGACAAACAACAAAACAATATCGTCGACGAAGACAAGCAAGACATTCATTTTACCACAATTATTATCATCCTCATCATCATCAACGAAAGCTCAATTTAAATAATAATAATGCTGCCAAACATTCATCATCATCATCGACATCAGAATATGATTGGATACAATTAAAACGTTCAACAATTAAAAAAAGTGCCATGTTGGCTGATACATTATTGTTACAAAAGCCTACTATTACCACCACCACCACCATCCCCACCATTACAGATTCAAAATTATCATCTAGAATTTCAGTTGTTGATGATGATGATGAATCAATATTTGAACAACAAAAAGAAGAAGAATCTTTGAAATATGATAGAATAAAACGACGACGACAACGTCAACGACAAAAGCGAGAAATAAAACCATCAAGTGCCAAACATGAACAACATGAACAAATTCGTCAATCAAAAGCTGGTCTTTTGATGTCAATATGGAAAAATTTAATGATTATTCGTGTAACAAAATCATTACCACAAAAAGAGGTTTGTTTTGTTTTTTTGTTTAATGTTTTCATCCACACAATATGTATGTTTGGTCGTGGGATAATGTTTCAAATCAAACAAAGTAGCCAAAAAAAAGAAAAAAGTAGCCAAAACAAAATTGCTACATTGTATCAAATATTTAATATTGTATCTTTTTCCCCCCTTTTGTCATGTTTCATTAATTGAATGTTTTTCCTTTCTTTTCTGTTTTTGTTCGTAACAAAAAAAAAATTTTAGTTTTATTTACGTATGGCTGAAATACAGACAACACATCGTCGTATTGTTCTTGTTCATTGTGATAAACGTATAATGAAACGTGTTATTAATACTGGACAAGAATTAGATTTATTTAATGGTGAAAAAATTTGGATTTTATTGGATGGACGTTTGAAATCGAATGAGAAATTTGATACATCACCACCAACCACTAATGCTCATCAATTTGTCAACAATGTTAATGGAATACCGCCAGTACCAGTAACAACAACTAATGGCTACAATGATAATAATGATGATTTACCACCATTACCAATTGGAATGTTAGCCATACAGAATCGTTATCGTAAAATTTATGATCCAAAATTATTAGATTCTATTGTCGAGTTAATGGGTAAAGCAGCATTAAATTCTTATCAATTAAAATTATTACAACAATCATCAAATTATCAACAACAACAACAAAAACAACAACAACAACAAAAACCCTTTGGTTATTATACTTCAAGTGCCTTAACATCATCATCATCGACATTGTCGTCGTCGTCGTTTGTTTCAAATTCTTCATCGCCATTACCCAAAAAGTCTTTCATAAACGATAATGATAATGATAAAAAACCAGAACCAGAATCAGATGAATTGAAACAGCGAAAGAAAAAATCATTAATGTCATCACCATCATCGCCGACATCGACGACATTATTCAATTCTGGTTGTATAGATTCACCGGAAAATTATACAGCCGAACAAATTGAATATCGTATCAATATTTTACGGTAAAGTTTCTTTTTGGTTTTGTTTCCGGGAAAAGTTTCCAACTAATTATGTCAATGAATAAATTTGTTTTTTGGGTTAAAAAAGTTTTTTGTTGTTTCCAAATTTGGTTTTTTTAAATCCCTTAAATGGATTGATCGATGGAGTTGAAATAGTTGTTTTTTTTTTGTTTGGTTTTGTTTGTTTTGGTTAGAATAGTCCAAAAAGATTAAAATTTCTGGGAATTTTTTTCCCGGGAATTTTCCTAAACTGAATTTGAATTGAAAACAAAAAACAAACTGAGAAACAAACTAGAAAACTCTTTTTTTTCCGAAATAAATTCCTTTCTTTTGCGTTTTGAAACATTTTGAACACCAAAATTTCTCACTTTGTAACAGAAAAAAAATCCAAGTAAACTTTCCCGAAAAATTTATGACAAATATAAACCAAACACACACATTTGGCGTGTGTCTGGTGTGTTTGAAGCAAAAAAATTCCGTTACAATGAAAAAATAATGTTTGCGAAAAAAAAACGAAGAAAAGAAATTCTTTAGTAACAAAAACAAACTTGATTCTTCTTCTTCGTTTTTTTCTTAGTAATTTGAGATTATAAACACACATTGACACACTTGAAACTTGAACACGCAACAAACACACACACACACTTGAGATTCGTTTTGATTCTTTTCTACGATTTTCAAATCGATTGTCGTCAGAGAGAGAGAGAGAGAGAGAGAAAATTGATATTATTTTCGATTTCGAGAATGTGATCAAAAGTGGTGATATTCAAATTGTTGTTTTTGCAAATCGAAAACATTCATTCATTCATCCATTTATCCATCCACCCACACACACACACACACACACTCATGCATATTGGATAAACAAAGTGAAAGCGAGAAAAATCCATTTTCCTTTTTTTTTAAATGATGTTTATTCATATAAACAACAAACATAAACATAAACATCGACGATGATGAAACAAAATTGTTGTTTTCTGAATTGGATTTGATTTGATATTCAGTCATTCATTCATGAATGACCCATTTTTTTGCATTCTCAACAACAAATCTTTTTTTTTCGATCAAAACCAATCATTATCTGCTTCCCCCTCCATCATGGTACACTTCATTCATAATTTGAATATTTGGTTGTTGTTGTTGTTGTTAATGTTTTCTGTTTTTTGTTTTATATATTGATTGAGATTGACAATTACAATCATCATCATCATCATTTCGGGAATGTTTCCCGAAAAAATTTCTCAATTACAAAACACTGGATACTTTTTCCTTTGTTTTTTCAATTGATGATGATCAACTTGATGTTTTTTTCTCTCTCAATTTCAGATACACTTGGTCATTTTGGTTAATGGATGATTTGTGTTTCAACACAAGTTCTTTTTAATTTGTTTTAATTTCGGTGAAAAACAAACAATGATTTTCAATCAATCCAGAGACAAAAACATCGATCATAAACATAAGGATTTTCAGTCGCTACTGAAACTCTTTTTTCTCTTTTTTTAAAAAATATTTATTCTTTTGATAATGTGATTCTGGATTCTGTAGATTCTTTAGATTCTCTGTTTATATTTTGCCCTTTTTTTCCTGATGTCTATATTTTCACTGATTTAATCTTTTTTCGTTTTTCGGTAATGTTTTTTTTTTTGCTTTTCTGAATGACACAGAATTCATTGTTTGTTGATATTCTTTTGACTTTTGAATGTTGGAATAGTGAAAATCCTATTCGTTGATGAAAGAGAATATACAGAATTTTCTTTCACTTTTTTTCCAAAAAAAGAAAACATTTTATTTGAAATTAAAATTCGTATCATGTATGTACGCATACACAAACAAACACCAAATATGCATAATATCGATTTTTGTTGAAAAAAATATGGAAATTTCGAAAATCTTTTTTTCTCTCTTTGCTTTGATTAAGAATCTCTTTTCTTTTCAGTTTTTCTTTGTTATCATTTCCATCACCGAGAATCTTATTTTTCGATTTTTTTCTTCTTTTCAGCTTTCGGCTGAAAAAGAAAAAAATCCGTATGACAACAAACGACAGCAAACGACAATGACAAAATCAAACAAATTTCCATCTTTTTTTCTGGATCAAAATGTTTGAATAAAGTTTATATTCTCTCTCTCTCTCTCTCTCTCTTGTCATCATCATCATCATTTTTGGCATTTCCATTATGACATTGATTGTCATCATCATTGGACTTTTGACAGCAACCAAAACAAAAAGTTTCTCATCAACGAATATGAATGAATTTCATTTCATTCAATGCTTCAATCATCATCATCATTATAATTCGATGTTTATCTTATCGAATTTAATGAACCATTCTCGTGTTTGCCTTTCTTTCATTGAAACCAATATCCGTTTACGATCATTTGCCAGTCTCTGGTTCAATTGAGTAAACCGGGTCCCGTCCTCTACAATTTCAGAAATCCTTTCCTTTCGACTTTGTTTTCCATATGGATTTTTCTTCCAATGTTAAGTTGGTCGGTCGGTTGGTTAGCTGATTGTCGTTCCACACAAACACACAACATTAACCCGAAAAAAATTCATTTCAAAGGAAAAAAAATCGAAATAAAAATTTTGAACCAAAAATGACGACCGATGTAATGGACCGAGAAAAAAAGAAAACCCATTTTCACTCTGCAAAGTTTTTACAGTGCAAAGTTTTTTTTTATTTCAATTCTTTCGCCTGCCTGAACTACTCGCCAGATTTTTTTTCCAAATTTTTTTTCTTTTATTTGACAATTCAGCAACGAAGCCAAACAAACGAAAAACATTTTAAGAAACCAGAAAAACAATGAATGAATGAATGAATGATGGAAAGAAAACTGGAAAAATAAAAACAAATAAAAAAAAGAACAACAACTGAAGAGAAATGCTAAATAATTCAAAATTCAATATCAAAAAAAAAAAAAACCGAGAACAATATTTTTTGTCATTGAGAATGTGAATGAATTTTTTTTCCTATTTCCACACAACTGGCTTTTTTTCTGGATCACGTAATCATTTTTTCTCTTTCAGATATGTGATGTATGTGTGTTTGGTTTGGTTTGGTTTGATTTAATGCACCACCATTTCCCCACCAGTCATTCAGTCATTGAATGGAATAGTGAATTAAGGCAGTGAAGCCAACATTTTTAAACAAATGAAAAAAAATGTTTAACTTTTCTGAAATATTTCTTTTTGGATTTTTTCCGGAAACTTTTTATTTTTTTGATTATCCTATCAGTTCATATATAACCGATGTTGTTTTTTTCTTGACTTTTTCTTTCAGTGAACTAAAAAAATTATTGAATCCAATATTGAAAAAATATCATATTCGTTCACATTGTTCATTATCAACAATCGTACAACAACAACAACAAAAACAAAAACAACAACAACAACAACAACAATGGCCTTGGTATCATCATAAAATTGTCAACAACAACAATAATAATAATGATAATAACAATAAACATCATCATCATAAACAACAACAACAACAACAAAGAAATCGTCGTCATCATTTTGGTACGAACAACAACAACAACAACAAAAACAACAAAAATAATAGCTTTACTAACAACAACAACAAGAATAACAATAACAACAACAACAACAATAATGATTCGATTGAAGAGAAAAATGAAAATATTTTCCAAAATTTAGTTACAAATGATAATCATCATCATCATCATCACGATGATAATGGTGATGTTGATCAAGATGATGATGATCATTTGAAAATGTCTTCCAACCTACCACTACCACAATTATTACGATCATCATCATCATCATCATCCGGTTTATCAAAAGGGTAAGTTTATTTAATCATTACCCCCAAAATAAAAACATTACCACTACCCCAATTTTGTTCCAAAAAAATAATAATAACTGTATAAACACTGATGACCTCGGTGTAAAAATTAAAAAAAGCAACACTGATAATGACCAAACACTGATAATAACCGGCTTTGGTTATCTTTCTTGTTGTTTTTTCACGAATTCCCGGAATTACAGAAATATCCTATCAGATACTATTGATGATGACGATATTGATATTGAAAATATTGATGACATTGATGACAATATTGATGATGATAATAATAATCAGCAACAACCAAAACTAGATTCTTCAATAAAAAGATTGCAGCAACAACAGCAACAACAAAAACAACAACGACGAAATCTAAATAAAAACGATTATAATGATGATGCGTATGATGATGATGATTATTATTATGATGATAATATTGATGGTGTTGCTGATAAATATAACGATAAACAGCAGCAAAATAAATATTTTGATGATTTAACAGATGATGTTTATGGTGATGCCATTGATGATAATGTTGATGATGATGATAATAATGTATTTATGCTCGATATGTATCGATCAATAGTGCCTCATTTTGATATTTTAAATTTGGTTCCAATCGATACAATCGATAATGGTGAAATCTCTACAAACATAAATGGTCGTCCGACAATCAATCACCCGACATTATCATCAACAACAACGAAAAATCGATGGAATATAGTTGGTAATATTACGTTTGATCGTGCAAATATCAATACTATTATCTATATTGGTTCGGAACAAACAAAATTACCAAATTATATTGTTTATGCTGAAAATATGAATCAACAACAAAGACAACAAAAACAACAACAACAACAACAACAAAATATTATCGTCGATAATCATGATGATAATGTACATAGTGTTGGTGGTGGTAATGGTGGTAAAGGTGGTGGTGGTGGTGGTGGAAAACCACGTTTTCGTGTTGTTACAAATATTGCACCACCATTTGTTATTGAATCAACAAAATTAGATAATAATACATGTCTTATTGGTGATTTTTGCCTTAAAGTAAGTTCAAAAGTTTTTCAATCATCATCATTGCTTTTTCGTTTGTTTACATTTTTCATATTGATCTATTGATTGATTGAGAAAATCAAATAAACAAACAAACAAAAATCTTTTCAAAATCAAAATTCAATTAATTGATCAATTTTCATCAGAGAATTTTTCTTCTTGAAAATGTGAAAAAAAAGTATTCGTTTTTGTGTGTTTCTCACGATGATGGATATTATTATATTGCCTAGGGCAGATTACTATGTAGTAGAGAAAATTTCTGACAATAAAATGGAACAGAAAGTTTTTTTCTTCCGTTTTTTTTGTTTGTTTAATTAAAGAAACTTTTAATAAAATTGTCGCTTTCTTCTTTTTTTAAAAATAAAAAAATTTCCGGAAAGAATTTTTTCATTTTAAAATTCTGAAGAACAGAATTACGGGAATAGAATTTTCAATTGTTTTGTTTTTTTTTTGTTTCGCTCTGTCCAATTGTTTGTAATGATGAAGAGAGAGAGAGAGAGATAAACGTAAAAACATGATGCTAATTTAATACCACAACAACAACAATTGTCTCTAGAGAGATTAAAACTGAAATTGAGAGAATGATCAATTTGACAAACAACAACAACAACAACCTCATTGAATTTTAAAAAAAAAGTTTTCGAGAAATTTTCCAGAAATTCTTTTCCACATTGCTTTTTTTAACATTGAATTTTTTTTTTACTTTCCTTCCTTCCTTTTTTTTGTGCAATAGGTTTCAACAAATGTTCGTGATGATTTAATATCAATATTTACTGATTTTCGTTCACAACGACGACAATTTGAAGGACAACAATATTATGTTAATTGTTGTGCCGGTATTGCAATCGATCTACTAAATGCAGTTGCAAGAGATTTACATTTTGATTATGATCTTTATTTGGTTGCTGATGGTTTGTTTGGTATTCGAAAAGATGGTAAATGGGATGGTGTTACTGCTGATCTAGTTAATGATGTTGCACATTTAAGTTTTACTGCATTCAGTACAACTAGTTCACGTGTACAGGTATGGATGCAATATTTTTTTTTTTTGCGATGCAATTTTTTGTTGCACAAAAAAAAGGGTTAATTAGGCTTTCTTCTGCCTAATGATTTATTCTTCTTCATTCGTTTTCTGCAATTTTTCTTTTTGATTTTCTTTTCTCTCTGATTACTGGATTCAATAAGAAGTTTTTTTTTCATCATTAAATTTCATCCAAAAAAAAACACTGAAGATTTTGATGATGAAACATCAATTTATTGTTTGATTTTTTGTTTTGTTTTTTGCTCATTATATGAATGCAATGAAATTAACAACAACAACAACAACAACAAAGAAAAGTCATTTGATAGTCAGTGTATTTCCATCATCCACCATAAACAAACAAACGAATCAAAATTCAAGTTTTATTGAAAAAAAAATGATGCTAAGGATGATGATGATAATTATGATGAATTTCAGTTATTCCTTTCTTAGGATATTCTATTCTTGTTACTTGAATACACTTTATTCTTGTATACAAAAAAAACAAAGACAGCAACCAAACTGAAAATAATAATCTCCACTTTATTTCATTTGTAGTTTCGCAAAATATATATCTTCTTCTACTAAAAAAAAAAGTAAAATCATCCATATTACACAATCATTTTTTACATTGAATAATGATGATGATGATTATAATCTTGAAATTTGATTCCTATAAATAGAACTAACACACACACACACAGCACAGACACTCACTTATGCAATAGATCTATTTATTTTGAATATAAAAACTGATTTTTCATTAAATCCAAACCAATCAAGCAGGCAGGCAGGCAATAGAAAACAAATAGGCAGGCAGGCAATTCGTATTTGTTTTTATTTGTTTTTTGTTTTTCAATGATAGAAAAGAACACAATCCGTTTTTGGAACCCGATTTTTGATTACCGAATCTAATTAACTTTTTGTTTTGTTTTGTTTTGTTTTGTTTTGTTTTCGGTTTCGGTTTTTTTCTCCTGATATGATTGTTTTTTGTCCCGGCCAAAAAAGAAAAAAACCAATCATATCATCAATGAAAATAGAAATTTTTTTTTTTCAATTTTCAAATCAAAAAACACCGAAAAACATTTTGTTTCATTTCATTGAATTCTAATGACAGATGTGAATTACAAGTAGCGAAAATGTTTTTTTGTCCGAAAAAGTTTTCGGGAAAAGTTTCCAGAAAACCAAATGAATGTTAATTGAAACAAATTTTTTTTTCACCAGACACAATTCGTGATTTATATTAATTGTTTTTTTCATTTTCGGCTGCTCTTCATTTTCATTTTCATTTGATTTTCTCGATTTTTCTGTTTTGCTTTTCCCTGATCGTCCATTCATTTTGTTTTCTGTTTTTGTTTTTTGTTTTTTGTTGTTTTTCTCATCGATCTAGGCAATCGATTATTCTGTACCATTTTTTTATTCCGGTGTATCATGTTTATCATCAGTTAGTTCATATTCGGATGTACGTTTATTAGCATTCCTAATACCATTCAGTTATGAATTATGGGCTGCAATATTTGCATCATTAGTTGCAACAGCAATTGCTGCTGCAATTTATGAATGGTTTTCACCATTCGGCCTTAATCCATGGGGTCGACAACGTACGAAAAATTTCTCATTAGCATCAGCATTATGGGTTATGTGTTCATTATTATTTAGTCATCTTGTTGCATTTAAAGCACCTAAATCATGGCCAAATAAAGTAAGTTTTTTTTTCTATAGAAATTTTCTTTCTTTCCGGGAACATTTTCGTCATTATTAATTTCTTTTCCTTTCTTTTGTTTACCTTTTTCTTTGTTTACCTTTTCCACCTTTACTTTATTCGGTTTGTTTTTTTCCTTTTAGGTTTTAATCAATGTTTGGGGTGCATTCAGTGTTATATTTTTAGCTACCTATACTGCTAATATTGCTGCACATTTTGCCGGTTTCCTTTTGCCAGAAGTTAATGATTTTCATGATAGTAGTGTAAGTATACATATATACTCTATATATATTCATCTTATTATTATTAACCCTACGCTACTCTCTCAATGATGCTCTAATAAAAAAGTGCCAAAATATTTAGTTTTTTGTAGAATCCAATTTCTCATCTATTAAAATGCATTAATTTTATTTTTTTCCTGGGTTAATATTCTAATTGATGTTTTTAATGACTTATAATAATAACTAATTATAATTATAAATATAATTGATGATTAACCCTTCCCCCCCTTCCACCAGAAAAAAATCCATAATGTTGTTTGGTTGACAATATGCATTATGCACTTAGGAATTTTTATGATGTTGTGAATGTTTTTCATGTGTTTGATGTTTGTTTTTCCTTTCCTGTCTTTTTCTCTATTCATTCATTTATAGTTAATGCAACAACGTACTGGTACAGCAAGATCATCAGCATCTGAAGGTTATTTAATGGAAAAATATACTGATTTATGGCATCATATACAACGTTATAAAGTTGATAGTTTTGATGCTGGTTTGGAAAGTTTACGGTAAAGTTTTTTTTTTGATTTGATTTTTTTTTGTTCCCTGAAAATAATTCCTATTTACACCCCAAAAATTGAATCAAAGTGATTTATATCAATGATGATTGTTTTTTGCTTTTCCTTTTTCCACCACTATTATTATTCGATTAACAACAATAAAACAATCATCGAAATGGTCGAAATAGTCGAAATAGTTGAATTAAGAAACAGAAAAGAATCCAATGATTTTATCATTAAATATTTCACTTATCTAAATCTGATTCTCAATATCAAAAAAAAAAAACAACAAAACAAACCAAAAACTACAAAAATACAATTATGTTTCTTCAAGTGAAAATCTTTTTTTTTGTTGCGTTTTGTTTTTCTGAAAACGAAAAACCAATGAAAGTGGAAAAGCGACGGAGAGAGAGAGAGAGAGAGAGAGAGAGAGACATTGTCCAAATTCCGGAGAACAGAATATTATTGTTGAAAAAGGGAAAAAAATTGTCCAAATTCCATTCGCAAAACACAAGAATTTTGATTGATTATATATTGAACATTGTAGAATGAATCACTAGTTTTGAATCGCATCGTTTTTGTGTAAGAAAAATTAGAAATTAGAAATCAAGAATGAAAACCGGACCAAAGTCACATTTCACAGAAAGTTTTTCAGAAAGAAATCCAAAACCAAAAAACCAAAACCATAGAATAATCTTGTTAAGAAACAATAAATTTTCTTCGGATAACAACGATAACGACAAATTATTAACTGACCCCGAAAGATTTTCATTTATATTAAGTATATCTTAAATACAAGAAAGAAATTACCGAGAAAATAAAAAAAAACACAGACCACAATCATTAAGTAAAGTAAAGCAAGTAAGCAATGAAAAAAAAATCGACCAACCAGAAAGAAACTTCTTCAAGTATCGTCTAAATACCAACGACAACAATCATTTTTCATTTTTTCCAGAATGATATCCAAAAAAAAAAGAAAAAAAAATCTTCCCGGAAAAGTCTTTCCGAAAATATTCTCTCCCGGTTATTTTTTCCAGTTTGTTTGGTTTTTCGGTGGATTAAAGTTATCTGATTCTATCATTAATTTTCCCGAAAAAAATAACACTGATGTATCATTATTTTCTTTGCCCTCTCTCTCTCGACCTTATTCATTTTTCCAACCAACCAACCAACCAACCAATCATTATTTTCATTTCATTTTCGTTTCTTCTTTTTTCGTTTCTCTATAGAAATAATAAACTAGATGTATTGATTGGTGATACAGCCATTCTAGATTATTATCGTGCAAATGATCCCGGATGTAATCTACGTTTATTAGGTGATTCTATATTTGATGATGCATATGCTATTGGTATGCAAAAAGGTTTTCCATTTCGTGTAAGTTATTAAAATTTTTTAATTACAAATTTTTTATTACAAACTTTTTACAAACTTTTTACAAATTTTATTAATTTTAATTTAATGTTTTCTGGATTATTATCGAAAATCTGAATAGTCATTTCACTTTTGGGTTTCTTTCTTCGCTTCTTTAGCGTTTTTCTTTTAGCGTTTCTTTTTCACTGATAAAGATCCCTGCATATAGTTGTTGTTGTTGTTGTTTTTTGCTATATGCGACTAAACTTGACTTGACTCGTCTAAACTGAACATTGTCGGTTTGACCTAGTTTTTTTCCCATCAGCAATGTAGTGTAGTACAGTAGTGTTAAGTTGGGCGTTATTGGTTTCAGGATCAGAAAAAGAAAAACCAAAGTGAACATCGACAACAACATCCGATAGCATCTTGTTTGTTCATTTTCTCTCTCTCTGCTGCTGTTTTCAATTTACTGCATCCCTTTTTTTTTCGTTATCGTCGGGACAATACTGTCATCACATCATCATCGTTTCATTTCGTTAGTTTTGGTTGTCTGCTTTATTTGATTTTTGATTTTTTTCCTTTCATCATCATCATCATCATCTGTTTCTGCATCTGAAAGCTTTTTTTTTTTTTTGGTTTCCGATTCTGGATTCTTTCAGGATTTTTTCAGGATTCTCTTTTTTTTTGATAAAATGGATTCTGTATGTGTACCCTTTCAGTGTCTCTCTAGTCTATAGTTATTCTTGAGGGGTGAAAAAAAAAGTAGCAAAATTTTATATCTGTTTTGAACAACATTTTGAAAATGAATTTTTTCAAATTGATAATTTTTTTCGGGTTTTCTGGCTGAATCCCGGGCAAAATCGAAGGAAAAACCAAAGGAAAACTGAAAAATGATAGTGATGATGATGATGGAAAAAAGATGGTAAAACAAAAACATTGAAATGAAAAATGAAACAAAACAAAAACAAAACGAAAAATGAAAAATCAAACATGAAAAACAGAATCATCACTTTGATGATGATTATGATTATGATGATACATGCTGCGAACATTATTTTTAAAACATTGTATTTTTTTGATTCTTGAAACACAGAATCCAATAAAGAAGAAGAAGAAACAAAGTAGGAATATTCTTCTCTAAAAATTTTTTTGATTATATAATTCAAACAACAACAACAAGACAACAACAACAACAACACAACAACAACAAACGAAAACAACAACAAGGCATGATATTATTCCTTGCCTTTGGTTTTCGGGTTTTTCGGGTTTTTTACCGATTTCAAACCCGAAAAAAAACCAAATGACATGAATGTGATTTCAACCGAGTGAAATTGAATTTTTTTTTTGTTTTTCCAAGTTTGAAAAATCCCAAAACAAAACAAAGAAAAAATTTATTCATTCATTTCGCATCATTTCGTTGTTGTTTGTTTTTGCCATTTTTTTGAAATTTGTTTTACTTAATGATTCGATGATTTATTGTTACTTGATTTTTTGGTTTCTTCATTCATTCATTCATTTTCTTCATTGAACAAATAAAATTCTTCTTGAATTCTGTTTAGGGTTTCGGTTTCCATTTACCAAACAAAAAAAAAATAACAAATTGTGGTTGTTCATTTTTTTCGTTGGAAATCTTTCCTCAATTTATTTTGTTTTCGGGGAAAATTTCCCATTCCACTTGGCCATTTTTTTTTTTTTTGGTTTCTTCTAAAATTAATGATGGATTTTCGAGGAAAGTTTCTTTTTGAAAAATCTTTTTTCTTTCATTTTTTTTTTCGTTGAAAAATTATTTGCTGTTGTTGTTTTTCAACCGAGAAAATTTTCGGGAAAAAAAATTCATTTTTGACTTTTTAATTTCATTTTTCATTTTCCACTGTGTATTGTCATTGTCACCATTATATAAGATGCTCTCTCTCTCTCTGCTGAAGACCCAAGAAGAAGAAGAAAATGATGATTCCGGTTGACTTGTTCAAATTCTGTGAATTCTGTTTGTTTGTTTCTCTCTCTAGCTCTCTATACTGGCCTTGTTGGATTTTTCATTTCTTTGCTGCTCTATTTATCATCCAGTTTTTCCGCATCTTCTTCAGTTTTCGTTTGTTGTTTTGTTTTGTTTCGTTGTTGTTGTTTGTCATCGTTTTTTCATCAATCATTTTTCGCTTCTTCTTTTCTTTCGTTATTATCATTTTTCAAAATTTTTTAAAGAAATTAAAAATCTTTTTTTTTTACTTCTTTGAATTGAATTTTTTCTCTGTTTTGTTTTTTAACCCCTCTCTCTCTCCCACCCACAAAGGAATCCATTTCAAATTTAATTCTTAAATATAATGAATATGGATTTTTGGATCAATTGCATCGTAAATGGTATGGTCGTGTACATTGTTTAGAATCAACATCGTTATCCAAACCAGAACCATTAACCGTACGTGGTGTTGCTGGTGTTTTTCTTATGCTTTTTATCGGTATTTTGGTTGGAATCCTAATATTATTGGCCGAACATTTTACATTTAAATATCTATTGCCCGGGTTTCGTAAAAAACCTAAAGATTGTTTTTGGAAAAGTCCAAATTTAATGTTTTTTTCACAGGTAAAGTTTATAATGAAACCATGATCGATGTTTACCTTTTTCTGTTTTTTTTTCTGTTCCCTGTGTTTCTTTTCCGTGTTAAAACTATAGAAACTATATCGTTTTATTAATACAGTTGAATTAGTATCACCACATCATTCGGCAAAAGAAATTATTACAAATCTACGTGAAGGACAAATTGCTAGTTTATTTCAAAAAAGTGTTAAAAGGGTAAATCAAATATATATATTTTCGGAAAGTTTTCTTTTCTAAATCCGGGAACAATTTCCTTCCCCAAACAGAAAGCAAAAGAAGAAGCCCGAAGACGAAAAAGTAAATCACAATTTTTCGAAATGATACAAGAAGTTCGTAAAGTGTAAGTATATAATTTGTTGGGAAACAAACTTTCCGGGAACTATTCTTTTCATTTTTTTTTTCTTCTCCAAAAGCGTCCACCTACAACAAACCGAACGTAGTATGCAAAAAGATGATGCTGATGTTGATATTGATGATGATGATGATGATGCGGATGGTGATGATGATTTATTATCCGATCTAATGATCGATGAAGAAGCAGCATTAAATACAAATGTTAATATGCGTGTAACACGACCATCATTTTCATTATCATTATTATCAACTACAACGGATAATTCAATCGATATGGATCAAAATCGTATTTCATCAATTCGTTTTCGAGGTTAGTTATCGTTTTCCTGGAAACTTTCCCATTGAAATTTCCCCATTTTTTCTTTGAAAAACAGAGCCGAATGACCATCAATTTGACCAGCAAACCTCAAATATTGTTGGTGAACGTAAAAGTAATTTGAAAAGTTCATTAGAATTGGAACATCCATTGTTTCGTTGTCGTCGTCGCCATCAACAACATCGACGTCATCGTCGTCGATCAAATCAAAGTAATCAATCGTTAAAAGATGATGAAAAACCAATTGACGCAGCAACCAGATTACGAAGACAAAAATTGCTACAAAGCAAACAAACAAGTCAATCATTTAGTTTGGAAAATATTTATTTTGAAGGACTGTTATCCGAAGGTATTTGTGATCCGGAACAAAAACGACAATATTCCCGTAAACGACGGATATTATCATTTGAAGATTTACCTGCTATAAAAAAAGAATTAAGTGAATCATCACAAGAAGGTGAATTCAGTGGTAGCGGTGGTTATTCAATGATTGAATCCGAACAATATCGTCATTACACGACCAAATCAACATCGAAAAAACCAACAAGGAAAACAAAATTGAAAAATTTGCCATCAACATCCACATCAGCAGCAGCAATGATCGATCATTCATCAATCGAACGATTATCGAAAAATGAAATTATTAACCTATGGAATTCATCGGAAAAACAACTGTTAAATCGTTTAACAGTAACGATTCAGAAAAATCATATTTTAGAAGAAAAATTACAATTATTACAACAAATGTTAAAAAAACCACCTTGATTTTTTATTCATAATGAAATAATATTTGAATCAAACAAACAAACAATCGATTGTATCGATGATCAAAAAAAATTTTTTCACACACGCCCATCACTTACACACCTTCCTTTCTAAATTCATGTTTTCAATTTCAAAAATATTCTGATGTGATGCGTGTTAATCTTTATTGTTCATCGTAAATCGTATTGTATGTTGTGTGTGTGTGTGTGTATGTGTAATGGAATCAAAAAATTTTTTTTCTGAAATTCTGTTATTCTGTTATTCTGTGTTCATCGATTCCGTTTTGTTTTTTGAACAAAAAAAAAACAAAACAAAAATGGAATTTGATAGAACCAAACGATCGACACACACACACATCAACACAAAATATTGTCATTTTTTTTTTGTTCTTTTTTTTCTCTTCATTTTTATTCATTGATGTGTGTGCGTTTGATGTGTATGTGTGTTTTGGATGCCAGAATATTCTTCGATGAAAAAAAATGTCATCATCATTGTCGTCGTTGTCAAATGAATGTCATAATTCTCTCTCTCTCTCTCTTCTTTTTTTTAACACACAGAAACCGACAGACAAACAAATGTGGAAAACGAAAAAAAATTTTCAATTTTTTTTCAATTTTTTTTGATCGCTTTTGGCATTTTTTTCTCCTGTTAGCTGCCATACAAATATTATTCTTTTCTGCTTCTGCTTTTTTGTTTATTCGATTTCAAATATTATTATTATTATTGTAGTTTGTAAATTCCGAAACATTTTTTTTTTTGAAACACACACATTTATAAACAGCTGTTATTATTATTATTATTTGGTAATTTCAATTCTGATAACCAAAAAATGGATATTTATTTATGATTCTGGTAGCTAGAAACTAACCGCAACAACAACCACAAAAATCAAAATGATTCATCATAATGATCGTTTTTCTTTTATTTTTTTTATTATCCTGGAACAAATTCTTGAAATTTTTTTTTTCGAACATAAACTTTTCTATTAATAATACACATATATACATTGCGCCGAATGAGAACTGAAAAAAAATCAAAAAAAAAAAAATTAAAAAAAAAAGAAAAGACTAGACTAGATTATACTAGGATATATTCAGTGTTCGGTAGATATGTTCATAGAATTTTACATTTTTGTTTTTTTTTCATTTCAGAATTGGAATTTTTCTATTTAAATTTGAATTAGCAATCAATTCTGCATAAAAGAATCGATCGCTAATCAATCAATCAATTGAATAACCAAATTATTGACAACCGTCGACAACAATGATGACATGATGATAATGATGATGATGTTTAACTAACTATCGATCGATCGATCACAATGATAATTATGATGATGATTATGATGATGATGACAATGGCTCCCAACCAACACTTTATAAAGAAATTTTTTTCAAATTTTAGATGAAATGAGTAAATGAGTAAAAAGTGTTAATTATGTTTATTGCACACACTCTCACTGTGATCATTGATCAAAGTTTTTTTTTTAAAAAAAAAGGTAAAAATTCTTAATTAAAAAAAAAATTACAACATTTTTTAGCTTGATTAGATTCAAAGTTAACTTAGGGTTAATATAAAACTTGACTTAATTGGATTAGTTTTCTCTTCTTTCTTTTCTCTCTCCAATCAATCAATCAATCAATCAAAAAATTTTCATTTCAAAAAAACTAAACTTTCTCTGCTTTCTTTCCGGATATTTGAACACACACGACACACACTTATCTATCTATCTATATCTATTTTTATTGCTGAAACACTTACAAACAATACAAACACCATAAAAGATTTAAAAAAAAAAATTGGATTCCTCACTAACTTATTGTTGTTGTTGTTGTTGTTGATTGATTTTAATTATTTTGTTTTTTTCTTTTCCTTTTTTTTCCTGATTTATAATCAAATTACAAACAAAAAAAATTAATATTACAAAATTCATCTTTAGAATCTGTATTATAATGATAATATGATTATGAAACTCTCTCTCTATCTCTCTTTTCAATATACTTAACACTTTCACTTAACACTTTATGCCTCTTGTTAATCACTGAAAAACATTGTTTCAACAAACGAACAAACAAAAAACCGTTTTTAAGATGAACTTATAAGAAACCAAAAAACAACAAACAAAAATAAACAAATTCAATTAATGAAATGATTCTCGAGAAGAAGAATCATTGAATTTCATTTCATTTTTGTTCAAATTTTTTTTCTTCGTTTTTCGTTTTTTTTTTGCTTTCGTTTTCTCTGTTGAAAAAAATTATTGTTATCAAATAAATAAAAAATTTTAAATTTTAAAAAAATGTTTTTTTTGGATTTCTGCTTGGGTTGGAGAAACTTTTCCGGTAAATTTTCAAAAAAAAAATTGAAAGAAATTTTCCCGTAAACAAAGAATTTCGAATTTTGTTTGAGCGTTTGTGTGTGTGTGATGTGCGCTTGGTTGTTTTTTTGTGTAGATTTTCTCGTGTCCTTTTCGTTGATGGTTTGTTTAAATCCGGTTATTGTGTGGTAATTATCTTTGAACATCTAAGAAAGCTATGGATGAATTAGCAATGACAAGATTATCTGAAGAACGAAAATCATGGCGTAAAAATCATCCATATGTAAATATTGTTTGATGAATCCGTAATGAAATTTGTTAATTTTCATTTTCAATCAAATAGGGTTTCGAAGCTAAACCAGTTAAAAATCCGGATGGAACATTCAATTTATTAATATGGGATTGTTCAATACCTGGAAAATCTGGTACACCATGGGAAAATGGACAATTTAAATTAAAAATTCATTTTAATAATGGTTATCCATTACAACCGCCTGTTTGTCAATTTGATCCACCAATATTTCATCCAAATATATGGAAAGATGGTAAAGTTTGTTTATCGATATTAAATCCAGAAAATGGTTGGCGTCCATCATTAACCATAAGAGAAATATTAATCGGTATTCAAGATTTATTAGATGATCCAAATATTAATGATGCAGCAAATTTATTTGCATATGAAACATATGTTAATGATAAACAAGCTTATACACAACAGATTATTGAACAAGCAGAAAAATTTAAAGTTACCTATTGATTAACCTCCACTTTTTGTTTTTTTGTTTTGTTTTGTTTATTGTCTATATTTTTGTCCAGATTCAGTATTTATAATATTTTTGAAAATTTTTTTGTAAAAATTTTTCATGTGATTCTATTGAATTGTTGTTCCAAAAGATGGCAGCACTGAAAAAAATAAATTATTGTAACGCCATCTTTTGTTTCAAAAAAACAAAAAATCGATATACATTCGAAAAGTATCTATTTTTTTTTTTCATTATTCATTCCCAAAAAATCTCAAATAAAATTTTGTAAAAAAAATTTACTTTACAAATTTGTAAAGTATAATTTCTCATTTTATAATATTTTATTTTATTGGATATTTCTCTTTTCATATTAATAATTTTTTTTTTGTTAAAAAAGAACATCAAAGATGTCTGTTAAATAAATCAAAAATGATCCTACTCTTGGATGTAAAACACATGTAAAATGTTTTTTTGATGAAACGAAAAACTTATTTCTATTTTGTTTAAAGTAAGTTGGTCCATTTTGATATGACTGAATTGATAATCGGAGATTATATCCCAAATTTTTTAAGGTTAACGAATTCATTACAAATGATAATGAATTCGTCTTTCTCGTTTAATAATTTCAGATATCATCAAGTATTTTCCACATTTTGTCTTAACGAATGGTTTCGATGTTGAAACTTTTCACTTTTCGATCAATTATACCCATGCTATTCTCTACGTGAAAAGCCGAATTAACCATTAATGGTCCATATAATCGAACGACTTCCGGCAGATGATGGATTACATGAACATTGTAACGATACATGTCCGTTGGGTATAGCTTGTTAAATTCAAACATAAATTTGTCAATGGATAATTTACATTTTTGGATCTCTTCTTCTTTTATCATCGATTTGGTCAGATTGGAAATAATAATATTCGAAAACAAAGCAAAAAAAACTTTGAATTCATTTTCCGGGATTACACCAATAATAAAGCATAATTAATCCATAATATAGGATGTTCTCATAATCGGTCGGTCCTTCAATTTATAGCTCAATGTTATGCTGAATCTTCTCAAAATTTGGGAAGGAAATTTGATTTGATTGAAACCCATATTTAATCATTTGGATTTGTTGGTTATTGAGTTTGATATTTCCTTTTATCTTTCCCAACCACGAACATCCAAAATAGCCATTGTGTTGGACTTGGTATTTAAAACTTTGGCCTTAGCTGGCGCATCACATATTGCGCGCAAAGAAGTTTGACTGTAAATTTTTTCTCAATCCAACGATCGCCATCGAGAATAAATACATACTTCCAATGGATCATTTTCGATTTGAATTAGTTCATCAATTAATGGTTGGATCATTCAACAAGTAAAGAGAGATGATTCAACAGCGTCACCATGATATTGCTGATTCGAATGGCATTTCTTTTTTGCAAACTAATAGGCTCGATTTTTTTTTTATCAACTGGACCAATAATGCCACAACCACAATAATAATATTTTGATATGATTGGATCGTAAATTCTAGCGTTATCGTGGCATAACTCAATGGAAAAATCTGATTTTCAGCACAAAACGATTATTTACGACTCGCAGAATCGACAACACATTGATTAGTTAAATTGTGCTTAACAGGTTCGCTACCGGAGATTTGGAAAAACACATGCATAGAACTACAGCAAATAAACGACGCATATATGAGTCGCTGGTATACCGCTATAGCGAACGCGTTAAGTTGATTCAGGAACAATGATATAACGCCATCTTTTGTTTCAAAAACAAAAAACAAAAATCGATATACATTCGAAAAAATTGATATTTTTATTTTTTTTTTGATGAAATTCATTCCCAAAAATCTCAAATAAAAAAAGATTCAATAAACTCAATAAATCTTTACTTTACAAATTTGTAAAATATACTTTAGATAATATTAGTTAAAAAATATTATTATTTATATAAATTAAAAAAAGTAGAAAGTTTCAAAGCAAAATTTTGTCGTTTTGTTTGTTTTGTTTTGGTTTTGTGTTTCAACCATAACGTTTCCAATCATAAACATTTGTTTCGGTTGTTGATTTAATTTCTTCACGTTCTTCAATCGATTGAATTTGATTACGTCGTCGTATTGATCCACTATATGCTAAATATGATTGTGATGGTTCTAAACTTAATGCATCTAAATCCGGTGAATATGGACGAAAATCATAATCATAAAGACGTGGTTTTATGGATGAATTTGTTGTGGTTGTATATGGATTTTCTAATCGTCTTGTTCCAAATACTGATGTTGATGTTGGTGATGTTGGTGATATTGTACCCGATGGTTTTGATCGACGACCACTACCATATCGATGTATTGTTTTGAATGCAGGTTTTATTGGTGTAAAATCCGGTGAATAACATTCATAACGTTTTGGATCGGGTAACCAACGATTACCCAATGATGGTTGCTGTTGATCATTATCATCATCCATAGGATAATCAGGTAATGGAACATAATGTCCACTACTAATACGATTACGTGAAAATGTAACATCTTCTTCTGTAACTGAACGTACTTCTTGTGCTGAAAATCCCGATCTAATATGCAAAAAAATGAAAACGAAAATCAATCAGAAAAAAACCAGACAGAAAATCAAGGGTTAATCCATAATCATACCTATATGTATCAGAATATCTTGTTGTTGGTGGTGGCCTTCTTTGATTCACTTCAGGCAATGATAATAAACGGAAAATTATTTCCCATGTTGGTGGTTCAAACAATGGACCATAACTAGGATGTTTTTCAATACGTTCAACATATTCATCGATTGTTGTTGATTCACAAATCAATGTACGAAATATTTCATCAGTTAAAATAATTTGTCGAAAACGATTCCTAGTTGGTAGCATAAAATATTCATCAATATTTGGTATTTGATCACGTGGTGGATTATTCAATACGCGAATTATTTCATCAATTTTTGTTGTTGTTGTTGTTTCGGATATCGATGTCGATGTTGTTGTCGTATGTTGTGGTAATGGCTTTCTTGGTATCGAACGTAAACGAACATCAAATCCAGTTAAACGTGATTTAGTTGTTTGTTCTTCTTCTTCAATCAATCTTTCTTGTTGTTCATCATATTCTTCTTGTTCTTGTTCTTCATAATCAATTTCCAATGTTAAATTTGGCATTGAACGACCGATTTTTGTAATTTGTTCATTTGTTTCTGTTTCAGTAATATTGGTTATATAAAAATCATCAATATTTTTAACCATAATTTTTGGTGGTTCCGTTGATGGTTTTGGTACTAAACGACGACGATGAACAGTATTATCCAAAAATTCATCTAAATCTCTTGAATGTGTTATATAATCATCATCAACCGTTGATTGCGTTAATGGTCTTGTCGCATTGATAATTGTTTCATCTAAATTATCAATAACTTCATCAATTTCATAAATATCTGAATGAAAATAATCATCTTGATCAGTGGTGGTTAATTGTGGCTGTTTTGTTGGTCCTCGTATACGATGTTGTTCAATATCATCAATAATATCCAATTCCTCGGCTGAATGTACATAAGTATCATCAATTTTTTCGGATTGCAATGATGGTTTTGCAGGACCAAAACGTCTTTGATTTGTAATTGTTTCATCAATTTCATTATCAATTTGTGGTGTAATCATTGTATCATCCAGATATTTTGTTAATAATGTTTTTTTCGGTGGTACAATAACACGATGTGTTATTATTTCATCAACAATTTCGGTTGTTGTTTTCGGTGTTACGAAATATTTTTCCGTTATTAATTTAGTTATACGTGGTTTTTTCGGTACGATTAAACGATCAACTTCATAATCAGTATCGATATCAGTTTCCGAACCATGCATAATGAAATGATCATCAAATTTCCGGGTATCGAATATTGGCATTGTTGGAACCATTAAATTTTGCTGTGTTTGAACAACATCGTTTTCGATAAAATCTTTATCCTGATAAAATATATCATCCATATAGGAAAGTTTAGCTTCCGGAATATATCCAAGGTTTTGAAATTGATAATCATCATGATGTATGATTGAACCTTCCGATATAATAGAATGTTCCTCTGATGATGATGGTGGAAAATATGGAATTTCAGCCGGTGGAACAAATTTTCGAATAACTTTTACTTTTCTTTTCTTTAAACAATAATAACCGATACCAATACCTAATAATAATAATGTTAAAAATAATAATGCCGAAACGATTAATAATAATTCAATTTCGGATAATTTTGCCGGTATGAATGGTATCATTGGTGGTGGTTGTTCTAATCTGGAAAGAAAAAAAAAACGTAAACGTAAGCGAAAATTGAATGATTTGAGCGGAATTCGTGAATCAGAAACATACATTGGTGCAGCAATCAATGGTGGTGGTGGTGCTAATGGTGGTGGATAACGACAAACAATTGTTTTTATTTCATCTTCTTCCAATTCTAATGCACGATGAAATCTAAGTATAATATTGTTGATGAATATTCTTGGTGCTTCCTGTTTTGTTTTTCGGTAAAAAATAAAAGAAAAAGTATCGATTGATTATATCGATAGTATCGATTTCGAACATTTTGAAGGGAAGTGAGGGAGAGAGATATTATATGATTATCATTACCTGTTTAGTACCGCAACCTTTTAATGGTAAACGCATTTCATAATAACGGCCACCATCACCATAAAATTTACATGGACTTGAACGATCATAATCAGCATAACCAATACCACGAAATGGTTCAGTAAAATTTATTTTTACAATCATTTCACCGCTTTCGCATGATAAATATGCTAAAAAACAAATGACAAACGAAAAAAAATGGTAAAAAGACAATTGAAATGAAACAAAACAAAACAAAACAAACATGACAAAAAAGCAAACAAGCAAAACAACGAGAATAGGTCGTCATTTCTCTCTCTCTCCATCTTCAATTTAATTTCCATTTGAATTACAATCGATCATTTTTGAAACAAAATGACAAAGATCCCATCAATCGATATCTATATTTAATTATAAAATTGATTGATTGATTGATTGACAGGTAACAAATGATGAATTTGAATGCAATAGGATAAAATAGCTAATGTATTACTGAAAAATAGACATTTTTGTTGTTGTTTTTCTCTCACCATTGTTAAAAAATATATTTGATTCACAATGAACTAATTTACAACAAAACAAAAAAAAATCATATTGAAAATCTAAAGGTGTGATTCGTTGCATAATTACACCAAAATATCTTTGATATTTGATCTTTAATTGCGAAAAAAACAATGCTTAAACAAAAAGAAAAGAAAACATATTTTGAATTGAATAAATAATGTTTTTTTAAACGAAAAGGAAACTAAATGATCAACTAACTATCCTTAATATTGTTCAATCAATCAATGAATGATCATCATCATTATCAATTTCATTCAACAACAAAAAACATTCATTGTAATAATGGATTACATCTTTTACTGCTGATGATAATAACGATGAAAAATTAATGAAGACAGAGAAAGAGTAGGGAAAAACAATTAATCGTTTATCATTTTTCGTAATTTAATCTTATTAAAAATGATAAATAAAAGTTATTAATGTTAATGTTTTTTTGTTTTGATTTTTGATTGATTCATTAAACTTACCTCTTGTACGATTAGTAATAATTTCTGATTCTAATTGATCAGTTGCTGCTAAACGAACAACATTTTGTGCTTGTTTTTTCGCTTGTTCTTCATTTGCTTGTTCAGCATAAATTCTAGCTTTATTAATTGCTTCAACATCATTATCGACTATATTAACATTATTATCCAATGAATTTAATGATATAAATGCTGTTCCGGGTTGTTGTTGTTGTGATGATACTGTTGCTGCTGATGTTCGATTACCGTTGTTGTTGTTGAAAGTTCTTAATCGTTGTCCATTGATGGATTGACCACCACCACCACCAGCTTGTGTTTGATTATTCAATCTTCCGATTGGAAAATGAATATTCGAACCCGAATGATGATTGATGGCAGCAGAAGTAGTCGTTTGATTGATCGGGTTAACTTGTTGTTGATAATTCGAATGTTGATTTAGTTGTTGTGTTGTACTATTTTGACGTACATTTGAGGGATAAGTCGATATAGCCGATGAATGATGATGATGATGATGATGAATTTGTGTTCGATTTGGTGAATCTAATCCCGAATGATGATAATTTGGATGTGATGATACACCACCACCACCAGGTTGATTACCACGAGCAAAATTATCAGTTACATCAACAATAGTACCATGATAATGATGACCAATATTTGAACCACCAATAACTGTATCATCTGGATTGATAATAGCAGCACGATGATAACTTTCTAAATCTGTACGACTTCCTTGATGTGCTGATGTAATTAAACGACGACGATGATCATCATCACCTAATGCTGATCGATTATAATGACTGATTATCGGTTGTTGATGATTTTGATGATCCTGGCCCGAACTAACTTCATAATGAATATTTTGTGGTCGTTGATGATTTGGATGATGGATAATCGATGGATTTCGATGATCAATATGATCAATTTGATTATGAAGTGGATGATGTTGACCACCATGTTGATGATCCTGTATTCTTATCGTTGATGGTTGATTTTCTTCACCAAAACTTCGATCGTTACCATTATTATTATCATCATTAACATTGATACGATCGCTATGAACATTTATGACTGAACCAGTTATTGGTCTGGTTTTAAAACGATTATTATTATTATGGATCACATTTGATGACGATGATGATGGAAATGTTAAAACATTTTGGCTATTTTGACCTCTACTGTTACTGTTACCACCAAATTGAAATATTGTACCATTTGGAAAACGTGGCCTATTATCTTTTGGAATATTTTGATGATGATGAAAATTTTGATTATCATTAACAACAACAACAGAATCAGTGGATATTTGACCACTAACAATAACGACTAGATTGATAATGATTGTGACCAGAATAATTAATGCAGCATTGAAATGGATTGATGTTGGCCGACATTTTGTACGAATTATATTTCGATACGTTTTCCTAATCATCTTTGCTGTTTTTGTATCATCACACACACACACACTATTGATTGATTTAATTGATGATCGATTGGCTGAAAAAATAAATATGGCAGATTTGATTATCGATTGATTATTGATTGAGGATCACATTTGGTCATTTTTTTTGTTTCTTGGAACGAAATTGAAAACAGCGTTGGTATGTTGAAATTTTATTACATTCTATTGATTGGATTGAAAAAAAACGAAGAAAATTTTAATTCAAAAGAAAAAAATTAGCTAAATGAAGAATGCGTGCGTGTATCGTCATCATCATCGTCGTCGTAATGATGTTTATTGGATTTTCGTGTAATGTGATTGCAACAGAAAACAAATTTGTAGAGAAAAGAAAATTTACGAAAATCGTTCTTATAAAAAACGAATGTTTAATAAATTTTCGTTTCGCTTCGTTTTTTTTCATCATTATTTAATTAAGAAACTTTGAATGTTTGAGAGCCACACACACGCACACACACAGAGACACAGTGCATTCAAGATCAACACGATGTTAACAAGGAAAACATGTAATACACCTTTGGAGAGAGAAGAAGAAGAGAGAGAAAGTTAAAAGGGAAAAAGAAAAAAGCCACCAAAATTAAACACATTTTTTTAGGTGATTAGGCGATTAAGCGATTTTGTGAAGGAATAATCCTTGTTGTTGTTGTTGAAGAATCCAAATTAAGGCAACAACAACAATTTTTTTGCGGGAATCCTACGCTTTTTTATTATTTTGTTTGTGGCTAAATGGATCCCTCGAAGAAGTTTATACTTCGATGATGTTTGACGATGATGGTTATTCATTCGTTGTCCAAAACAAACTCCTACGCAAACAAAGCAGAATGACTACGACAACGACGACCACGAAGATTTTCTTTAATTTTTTGGTCATAATTGACTACAACTAACTGACTACTGTAATGATTACCGCTACTACCACTTTCATTATCATTATCATCATCGACATCGACATCGACATCAACAACATTATCATCACCTTCATGCAATCATTCAATTTTTTCTCTCTCTCTCTCTCTCTCTCTCTCTCTCTCTCTCTCTCCTTGCATTGTGTTTCTTCTTTTTCTCCCATTTTTTTTCCATTATGATTCATCTTTGGAATTTTGGAAAATAGATCGTTTTGGATTGACGTTGATCGATGANTTTTTTTTTTCTCTCTCTCTCTCTCTCTCTCTCTCTCTCTCTCTCTCTTTCTCTCCTGTTTTCAATATGATGAATTAAGAAATGTAATGAAAATGAATAATTTATGCATCATAGATTTTGTCATTGTTAATATTTGTTTTGTCTCGCTTGTTTTGTTTCGTTTCGTTACAAAGAACGGAAGAAACCTCGAAAGAATCTCTATCCTATATATGGCCAAAAAAAATGAATGATGAAAGTTGATGATTATCATCATCATCAATTGAGAATGAATCATTTTTTTTTGCATCTCTACAGGTGGATATTACCTTGAAAATGTTTTTGTGAAAAAAAAATTGAAATTTTTTTTTGTTTTGAAAATCAAGTTAATTAAAGATTTTTGTTATGGAGAAGAACAAAGAAGAGAAACGAAGAACGAATGAAATCTATCCGCGGATACATTTTTTTTTAGGGATAAACGTTTAGGATGGAAAACCACTATTACGATGAAATAAATTTAATCACGATAATTGATACATCGATCGATCATCCATCATCATCATCGATATTCGATTATTAATCGCAAAACTAATTGGATTTGATTTTTTTTCCGCACAAAAAACACATGTTTTTTTTTCTTTAGTCCGATTGATTGAATGATTCCGGGTTAATTATACAACAACAACAACAACAAATCATTAATTATGGTTATTATATAATTAGGAAAATTTCAATCAATCAATCAATCAATCAATCAAAATGATCTATTTTCCAAAATTCCAAAGATGAATCATAATGAAAACAAAATGGGAGAAAAAGAAGAAACACAATGCAAGGAGAGAGAGAGAGAGAGAGAGAGAGAGAGAGAGAGAGAGAGAAANTTTTTTTTCCGCACAAAAAACATGTTTTTTTTTTCTTTAGTCCGATTGATTGAATGATTCCGGGTTAATTATACAACAACAACAACAACAACAACAAATCATTAATTATGGTTATTATATAATTAGGAAAATTTCAATCAATCAATCAATCAATCAATCATCGATCAACGTCAATCCAAAACGATCTATTTTCCAAAATTCCAAAGATGAATCATAATGGAAAAAAAATGGGAGAAAAAGAAGAAACACAATGCAAGGAGAGAGAGAGAGAGAGAGAGAGAGAGAGAGAGAGAGAAAGCCATGTTTAAAAAAAATTATAATGACCTTTTTTACAACTAAACATTTTCTCTTGTTACTTTTTTTTATAATTTAATAATAAAACCTATGTGTCATCATCATTACCATTACCATTATTATTATTATTATTATTATCATTGGAATTGATAGTTTCGTAATCATTTCATCGTTTGTTTTGTTTTGTTTTGGCAAAAAATTGACAATGGAAATTGAGAAAAAGATGATGATTTTTTGGAGAAAAAAAAATAATGATGATGATGATTACTATATATAAACATCTTCAGAACTGAATTTGAATTATTTGGAGATTTAGATCAAGTTCACCGTAATGGAAGATCCTTGAAAATCATCATCAAAAGAACAGACAAAAATAGCCAAATGAAGAAAGATTTTTGACCAAATTTGGTTAAAATGATGATGATCATCATCGAGGAATGTCAAACGAAAACAACGAAAACGAAAATCCAAAAACTTCAATTCTTCAATGAAAAAAGCGAATTTTAGTGAAGGTTGTTGTTTTGTTTGTATCGAACCAACCTGAATAAGCAAAACTAACAAAACATAAAAATCATATCATTGTGGTGGATGGATGAATGTTTGGTGGATATAACCATATTTGTAACAGAAGATTTTTCCTTTGATGATTGAATCCAAATTTGAATTGAATTTCAATCGGAGAAACGAAAACGAAAAAAAATCATATCAATTTTCAAACCACCAACCAACCAAAAATACTTGATGATGATTATGATCATCAGCAGCATCATCAAATTATCCAGCGATATAATTATCTTATCAAACATTTTCTGTTGATCTAGATCAAGCAGGGAAAACTTTCTTTCTCGGTTTTCATTTTTTCGTAAATTTTTTCGTTCGGTTGATCAATGAAACACATTGATTATCAACTTGATACTTTTTTTTCCCGTCGTTGTTGTTGCTGTTGTTATCATTATCCGATCAAATGATTTTATCAATGAGAAAACTACTATTATCATCATCATCATTATGTAATCATCGATGATGATGATAATGATGATAATGATCATGTCCGATGACCAATCACACTCAACAACAACAAAGAAAGAAAGTATAATTTCAGTGACCATCAAAAACAACAACAACAACAACAATCAAGATTAGCTGATTTTGATCTGGATTTAAGTTAAGAGAAAAGTGATTCAAGGAAATAAAATGAATCAATGACCATCAATGACCTTTGCTTTTCTGTTTTGCTTTCTGTTGTTTTTTTTGTAAAAATCATTCATTCATTCTCTCTCTCGGTCTTGATGTTTGCTCGCTTTTTTCGTAGAATTTTTGGATTTTTTTCACATTTTTGATACAGGGTGTTTTTTTGGGAAATTTCCAGGAAATTTTCGATTCAATTTTCTCATTGATTTCGGAAAAAAATCAATGATGATAACCGGCGATTAACGGGGGAAACAAAAAATGATGTGAAAATTCACATCGGAAAAAAATACTGTTTGAAAAAAAATATTTCCGAAATTTGGAAATATTTCGAGCAAAAACAGACCGGAAAATTATTTTCGAAAAAACTTTTGATTTTTGATTTTTCTAGAATTTTGCGTAAATTCAAATTCGACTTTTATTTTTCTATATTTACAAATTTTGTAATTTCAAGTTAAAAAAAACTAAAACTAAATCTTTTTATAAAATTACAAGTTTTACAATGAACGATTTGTTAACGATCGAAAAATGATGGAAAAAAATTTAAAAATTTTATTTATCATAATTATAATTATAAAAATCGTTATAATTATAATTATAATTAAAATATCTAAACAACCATTATTAATGAAACCAATAATGTTGGATATATTGAATAGAATTGATAATAAAACAAGTTTAAACCGAAAACGATTGAAATCAACAACAACAACTGAATCAACTGAATTTTCATATATAACTGGTTTTCGTTCGGAAAATATCCTGGCCATAATTGATACATATGAAAAAGATTATACGACAAAAAATTGTACAGTGTTTAATGTTGAAAAATTTCAAGATCAAGAAAAACCAGAAGAATTAATTCGTAATCATCCTGCACTTTATGTTTATCAATTGAAATATATTGATTATAATTTATTATTATCATTGATACGTCGGTCATGTACAATGAAATCGTTGGAGCAACAAAGTGTTAATGAAGTTGGTGAAAAAAGTAGCGATTTTGACGCAGACGATGAGGAAATTTCATCAAATTTAGCATCAATATTGAAACAAATTGATAATCAAACAACATGGCATGCACCGAAAACATTGTGGTGTGGTACAGATTTAACCACCACCACCACCATTATGAATGATTATTGGAATTTGGGCCCGGCTAGATTTGTTGATATTTGTTGTCGTGAACATGAATATTGTTCAATCGTACTTAGACCAAATGAAAAACGATACAATTTATTTAATGAAAGTTTATTTAAAATGTATCTTTGTCAATGTGAACAATTTTTTTATGATTGTCTTAAACGTAGAATACGTTTGGGAAAAAATTACGGTGATGTAATTAGAAATGTTTATTTTAAACGATCAAATCTAAAATGTTTACAACCAATCGATTGTAATGCTGGTTGGATTTTCGATAATGAATGGCAATTGATAAATGATAAAGAAATTTTTCAAAAACCATGTAAAAATAATTTCAAAATAATTGATTTTAAATTATTAAATTGAATTTTGCAAATTTGTAATTTTGTAATTTTGTAATAAAATAGAATTATAGAATTTTTATAACAACAACAATTACAAATTACAAATAAAATTACAAACAACAAGGCAACTTGTTTTGGTTGTAAAAATTTGTAAAAAATTTGTAATTTTTTGTAATATTTTAAAAATGAAACAAATATTTCGTTTTCTGGTCAACATTTCAATCATCCTGTTGTTTATTTTTACTGATAAAATTTCAAAATTATCCGTATTATCATCACCGGAATTATTTGAATTATTTCAATCGAAAATTGATACAAAAAATGAACCACTTAAACAATCAAAACATTCGATACAATCAAGATCAATACGAATGCCAATCTTCATTGAATCAACATATTTAATTGGTTTTCAATATGAAAATTTACTTACAGTATTAGAATTATATTATTATAATCATACTATTTATAATTGTGCAATATTTGATATGAAAGAACAGACAAGAAAAAAAGAATCAAAAATTTATATAAAAAAATATGGCCATAATAAATCATATTCAAAACATCGTATTGATTATAATTTAATGTTATTAATTATACATTCATGTACATTATATGCATTAAAAAGATATACAAATAATATATTAATTAAAACGGATAATAGTAGCAAATTTTTCAATGATAATGATCTGAAAAAAGATGATAATAAATTTATGGATTTTATTGCACCGAAAACCAAATGGTGTGGTATTGATGATGTAGCAAAAAGTTATTGGGATCTTGGTAATCAACCATTGGTTGATATTTGTTGCAGGGAACATGATCATTGCCCTATACATATTAAATCAAAGCAAACTAAACATGGTTTACATAATAATAATATGTTTATGGTATCATATTGTCAATGTGAACAATTTTTTTATGATTGTTTACATCGTCGAAAAGGTATACATTATGAAGATGTTATCAGAGAATTATATTTTTTACGTTTTGATGTTGATTGTATTGATACAATTGATTGTAATGCTAAATGGATTTTTGATAATGAAAAATGGAAATTATTAAATTTTGAAAAATTATTAAATGAACCATGTTCGGAAAAATTTCATATTGTTAGATTTAAAGATTATAGAAAAAATCGTACAACAATAATATTAGCTAATCAAAAGGATAATGATGTTGATAATATTGATTATAAAGATGATGAACATGATGATGATAATGAAATTAAACCAGATACATTTCGAAAACCTAATGATAATAATGTTACAAAACATAATGATAATCATAACCAATAACAAGAAGAAGAAGAAGAAAAAGCAAGACTAAAAGAGATTCGGGATAAAAAATAGAATTTATAACAGAATAAAAATTTACAAAATAAAAAATTCTTATCTTTTGCTACATTTTTTTTGCTACATTTTTGTTGCAATTTTGCTACATTTTTTTTGCTACATTCTTTGTAACAAGGAAAACAGAATCAAAACTGAAAATATTCGAAATCGAAATTAACAAATTAATTCGATATTGTCGAACAAAACAACAAAGCCAAAACAAAAAACTAAAATTTAATTATTAAATTTCTAGATTTAAAAATGGTCGAAAATTTCTCCCTGGTTATTTGTATCCATTTTTTTTCTAAATTTGTTTCATTTTTGAAATCCAAGAAAAAAAATAAAATGAAAATCAAACATTTTTGTTTATTGTTTATCGTTTTTATCCTATTCACTTGTGAAATTTCAATGTTACCAACATCATTATCATCAATATTTGAATCAGCATCAAATTCTGAATCATCTGAATTTAATATCCAACCCAAATTACCGATAATGGATAGATCAATAAAGATGCCAATATTAGTTGAATCAACATATTTGGTTGGTTTTTTATTTGATAAAACATTAACCGTATTAGAATTATTTTATAATACACATAGTATATATGATTGTGCTATATTTGATTTAAGCATACCTGAACGTAAAAAACAATCAAAAATTTATATAAAAAAATATGGTAAAAATAAAACCTATTCAAAACATAAAATTGATTATAATCTAATGATATTAGTTATACATTCATGTACATTATATTCATTAAAAACATATTCAAGATTGTTACATATTAAAATGGATAATGGTAGTAAATATTTTAGTGAAAATGATATGAAAAAAGATGATAATTTTATTGATTTTATAGCACCGAAAACTAAATGGTAAAATCATAAATTGCTACATTTTTTTCTCTTATAAATTGCTACATTTTATTCTAATAAATTGCTACATTTTTTTCCTGTCTATTTCAACCGGAAACACAGGTGTGGTGTTGCCGATATAGCCGAAAATTATTGGGATCTTGGTAGTGAACCATTAGTTGATCTTTGTTGTAGAGAACATGATCATTGTCCATTAAATATTGAATCAAAAAAATCTAAACATGGCTTACATAATGGTGGTATGATAACAGTATCATTTTGTTTATGTGATCAATTTTTATATGATTGTTTACATAGACATAAAGGTTTACATTATGAAGATGTTATTCGAGAATTATATTTTTTACGTTTTAATATTGATTGTATTGAATCAATTGATTGTTATGCTGAATGGAAACGTGATAATGGTAAATGGAAATTATTAAATTATGAAAAATTATTAAAAAAACCATGTATGAAAAAATTTCGTTTAACAACATTTACTGATTATCAGAATACATTATTAATTACAAAATATAATGATTATAATGAAACACTTAATGATGAACATGAAATGAATGAAACAAATGTTACAAAAGATGAAATTAATAACAACAACGGAACCAAAGAAGAAGAAAAAGAATAAAAAAAGCGATTTGTAACGGGGAAAAGAATTACAAACTTTTAATTAACTTTTTTTTTTGTTGAAAAATGTAGCAAAAAATTTTCTAATTAAATTCAAATTTTTGTAAAACTTTTTTCTTCGAATTTAAAAATGTTTTTGAAAAATTTTCTTGCTTTTTTTTTTGTTTTTTACATTTTGTAATGAAACATTCATTCAACAACATTCTGATCCTATGGATTATTTTTACCAATCAAATTTCAATTACATTTTCATTGTGTAACCAAAAATGTTGTAGCAAAAATCACAATGGTGATGATGATGATCAGGAATTGATATTTGAAATTTTTTGTAACAAAATTATCTGGGATTGTTGTGATGATGATAATCGAACAACAACAACAACAACAAGAATAACAACACCAACAACAACATATCTGGTTGGTTTTAAATCGGAAAATATATTTACCATTCTCGAATTACTATATGTAAAACATGAAATAATTGATTGTATAATATTTGATTTAAAGTATTTCGATCGTCAAATACAAGCAAATGATTATCTTGAACAAAATTCTCATAAAAAACAATATTCATCGCATGAAATTGATTTCAATCTTATGTTACTTGTAACTGAATTCTGTTCGAGAATGGCTATAAAACAACAACAAAAAAGACAAAAAAGACAATTAATAAAATGGAATCTAATTTCACCTGGTACAAATTGGTGTGGCCCTAATAATAAAGCCCGAAATTATTCGGATTTAGGCCAGGCAAAATTAATTGATATTTGTTGTCGTGAACATGATCATTGTCCAATTATAATTGAATCTAAAATGACTAAATATAATAATATTTATAATAATGATTTTTTTACATTATTATTATGTCAATGTGATGAATTTTTTTATGAATGTTTAAATCAATTACCATCATTATATTCATATTATGAATATCTGATTCGTAATTTATATTTTAAAAGACCATTAATGAAATGTATTGAAACGATTGATTGTGTTGCTGAATGGCAAATGTATAGACCAATTGTTATTGTATCAGCTAATAAACAATGGATATGGAAATTAGATAATTTTGAACAATTATTTAATAAACCTTGTAGGAAAGAATTTCGATTAATTACATTTGATGAATATCAATATAAAAAGAAATTATCATCGATTATCATTATTGATGGTGGTAATCAAGTGAAACCAGTTGATGATAATAAAATGAAACCAGGTAATAATAATGGATCCAGGGAAACGACCACCACTACGACAAAAAGTGACCATCGTGATGATGATCATCAGGACAAAAATCAATCCAATTCAAAGTGTTTATGTGTTTATATTTGGATATTCTTTTCAATTTTACAAATTTTTTTCATTCATTAATTAAAAATCATTATTAATAATAATTCTTTGTTTTATAGAGTGAATTCATCCACGGAATTCTGAATTTTTGTTGCTGTTATCGTTTTTCTGTGATTGAAATGATTGCCAGTGTCAAGGCTATTTCCCGAAAATTTCAATGTTGTTGTTTTTCCTTTTTCAAAATGAAAAAAAAAACATGCAAAAAAATAACAAACAAATTACATTCGAGAATAATGATGGATTGTTGAATTTTTGAATAGAAAATTTTTTTTTTATGAATGTCAACAATTAGTTGTAGCTTTTTGTAGTTTCCAACAACGTTTGAAAGTCTATATGTAAAAAACCATTCAACCATATCACAATCATGGATGTGAAATTTAATGAATTTTGATGATGATAATGTTCATTATCATCAAGCAAAGCTTCAATCATCATTAATTAAGGTTGAATCATCAAATGATTGCACCCAAATAGACAAAATATTCAATTAAGTTCAAGATGTTAATGTTAAAGTTGAGTTTTGTTTTCAATTTCACTTTTTGCAAAGATTTCATTGAAATTTTTGAAATTTCAAAACAAAACTTTTCTTCATTACACACAGTGGTTGGTTGGTCAATCATCAATCTTTTTATGGTCATTTTTGTTTTTTTTTTTTTGTTTCGTTTCAGACGTTATGTAAATTAGTCAAATTTGTTTGTTGAAATGTGGCCGAAAAAACTAAACACTGTTTTGGCCAACCACTAATGATGTTTGTGGTGGTCAACAAAACAACAAAATAAACATCCTCAACATTCTGGGGCAAAAAAAACAAGTGAAAGTTATGAATATTGTAAGCAAGGGAAACTTTCCGGAAAAAATATTTTTTCTAACAAGTACTTGATAAATTTTCCTAGAAATTTCCTAGGTGTTAATTTTTTTTTATCGAAAAACTAATTAGGAAAACTACTACTAATGATGATGATAATAATCAGAGAAACCATTTCAACTCAAATGGTCAATCAAATTTTACCTTTTTCGGTAATCAATTTTCAATTTGGGTTTTCTCTCCCCACACATTACCGGTGTGCGTTTGGTGTGAAAAATCAACGATAGTTTTTCAATCTAACACTTCCGTCTCTACTGCACGAACTGAAAAAAATTAATAAATTTTGAAAAATTTTGAAAAAAAACACGAGGCGCACCTTTTCGTTTCGTTTCATTTTTCTTAATTAAATTTCTTAATTAATGATTTTTTCTAAGCGAAAACGAAAAAATCCTGTAAAAAAAGTTTCGTTTGATTTGATTCGATTCAAGTTTGATATCCCGAACGATGATGATTATTGTCATCAAACAACATGTATACCTGTTGGACACCTGTCAAATATCGTTGTTGATTTTCGGCGCGCCATTTTACACACACACACACAAACAAACAAACAAACGATGTGACCTTTACAAAATTGAAAAAAAAACTAATTTAACATCCAACGAACGAACGAACGAATGTTGTTTAAATCGAAAGAAAAAAGCATGCAAAGAGAGAGAAAACCACATGAAAATAATTATGTGATGATGGTGGTGGCCCAAAAAACATCGCTGCTGTGTGTAACACTTGTGTTAACGGTCAATCGAAAGTAAATCAAATAGAGAAAATGGAGAAAGTTTTTGATTGATTTGATTTGAAGAAAAAAAAATCAAGGTAACAATCGATCGATATGCATACTTTCCAAAAATCGATCAATCGGTCGATCGATAATGATCGAATTTTTTTTCAATTACGTAATGACAGGCAACACAGGTTCAATGTCAGGTTAACCCTGTGTGTTACGCCCAAAAAAAGAAAAGAAAAGAAAAATCCAATCAAAAAAACATTAAACCGTTATGATATTGAAAAGAAGTAAACATTTTTTCTATTTTGACCACGATGGCCACCACGACGACCACCATCATGGACAATCATCATCATTAAGACTTTTTTTCAAAATCATGATTCGCACACAGGTTCAATGTCTATTTTTCTTTTATTCTAATGATGTGTTTCAAAAAGAAAACGAAAAGTACGAAAACTTCATTCCCACTATTTCCACTTCACCTGCCTCCAAACAAAACAAAACATCATATCATATCATATTCACCTGTATATGGTGTGAATGGTTTTTTCGTTTCTTCAACAATATTGACCACATCAGTTTGTTTTTTTTTTGATTTGCGTTTGAAAGAAATCGTTCAAGGTTTCTCTCTCGTTATTTTATCAAACATCTTGGAACAACAACAACAAAGCAGAAGCAGAATGGATGAGGAATTTGGAAAATTGAAAAACAAAAACAAACAAAACAAATGTCTAATTATGGAAAATTGTTGTTGTTGTTGTTGATGGATTAACGCGTTCGCTACCGGAGATTTCGAAAAACACATAGAACTACAGCAAATAAACGACGCATATATGCGTCGCTGGTAGCGAACGCGTTAATGGAATTTTTCGATAATCAATTAATCAATCAATCGATCGATCGATCAAATATCCGAATTTCATTCGAATTTTCATTTTGGTCAAATGTTGATATTGAGCGGAATCGAGAGTCATGGCTATTTAAACACATCGAACGAAAGAAAGAAGGAAAAAGATTGTGTTTTTGTGGATCGTTTTTTTTTTGTTTGACAAAAAAAAAATGTTCATTAAAACAGCTAATTAATTTTGTTAATTAACCACAGATGATTACATTTATGGCACAAAGAGAACTTACCTTAATTTCCAAAAAAGTGAAAGTGAAAAAAAAGAGTTAAAGTTTCTTTTAATGATCAAAAAAAATTTTTGGAGCAATTTTAGTCGAAATAGACGAAAATTTTATTCGATTTTTTTGTTGTATTTCCTATGAATGAATGAAACATTTGGCCATGTTATGGATGACAGAACTGAACAACAAACAAACTTTGTTTTTGTCTTTTGCTTGCTTAAATTGATAATCATTATGCTTGAAACAAATCGAATCTGGATGTCGGATGGATCGGTGGAAACTTTTGTGTTAAACAAAACAAAACAAAAGATGATCGTGAAATGGTCAAAAGTTGAAAAAAATCAGCCAAAGCCAAAGCAAGCAAAAGATAATCGCATTAACACTTGATGGAAAGAAAAGAAGAAGATTATCTTTGATGATAAAGATGAGTTCATTGAATGAATGAAAATCGTTGCTGCTTAATGATGATGATGATAAACACTGGAGATTTTTTCAGAAAAAAAAGTTAATCTTTTTTTCAAGAACAAACAAACACTTGCTGAACACAAAGCGAAAAAGAAACTGTTCCAATTGGAACATCACCAACGAACAAACACGGACAAAACACGAAATGAAATTTGTTTACCGGTCAAAAATTTTTTTTCGGATAAAATTCAATAAATCAAACAAGCAAGCAAGTTAAAAGCAAACATTTTGTCCCTGTTTGATGTTTTCGCTGTCGTTGTCCAGTGTTTCAAGAAGAAACAAATCTTAAATGACCATATCATTGCCATCTGGACAACAACAACAACAATCTTGGTGAGAAAATGAAAAAGGAAAACTTCTTTCTCTCTTTTTCTTCCACCAAAGATTCTTTTGAATTCACCATNAAAAGAGTTAAAGTTTCTTTTAATGATCAAAAAAAATTTTTGGAGCAATTTTAGTCGAAATAGACGAAAATTTTATTCGATTTTTTTGTTGTATTTCCTATGAATGAATGAAACATTTGGCCATGTTATGGATGACAGAACTGAACAAACGAACAAACTTTCATTTTTTTGTTTTTTTGCTCGCTTAAATTCATCATTATGTTTGAAACAAATCGAATCTGGATTTTTGATGGAAACTTGTGTTAAACAAAAAACAAAACAAAAGATGATCGTGAAAAAAAGTGGTCAAAAGTTGAAAAAATCAGCCAAAGCAAAAGATAATCGCATTAACACTTGATGGAAAGACGACGAGAAGAAGATTATCTTTGATGATAAAGATGAGTTCATTGAATGAATGAAAATCTTTGCTGCTTAATGATGATGATGATCATGATAAACAGCTAACTGAAGATTTTTCAGAAAAAAAAGTTAATCTTTTTTTCAAGAACAAACAAACACTGAGCGAACTGAAAAGAAACTGTTCCATTTGGAACATCACCAACGAACGAACGAACACACGGACAAAACACGAAATGAAATTTGTTTACCGGTCAAAAATTTTTTTCTAGATAAAATTCAATAAATCAAACAAGCAAGTAAAAGCAAACATTTCGTCCCTGTTTGATGTTTTCGCTGTTGTCCAGTGTTTCAAGAAGAAACAAATCTTAAATGACCATATCATTGCCATCTGGACAACAACAACAACAATCTTGGTGAGAAAATGAAAAAGGAAAACTTCTTTCTCTCTTTTTCTTCCACCAAAGATTCTTTTGAATTCACCATTTGGAATGTTTTTGCTTTTCAAGTGTAAATCAATCATCTTTTTCTCTTTTGTTTTTTTTCTTTGGTCAATTTCGAAACACGTTGTATGATTAGATTTTCGCTCCACGATCCTCAACATTTTGTAACTGTATTTCCAAAAAAAAAACAAGAAAAAAAAATTTGGAAAATGTCGAAAACGCGTATCCAAGATATACCTCGACCACCACCACCACCAAACACTGTTTATCATCACCTGAACGCCATACACTTGATGTTTTTTTCTCTTTAGTTTCCCAGAGAAAAAACTAAAAATCCAGAATGGATATGCAGAGAGAAATTCAAAAGAAGAAGAGAAAATGAATTGAACGAATGTTGAAACAAACTGTTGAATTGTTGAAATTTTTGTAATTTTTTATTAGATCAGATTTGAGGAGAAAAATGTTGTTGTTTGTTGACAAAAGTTTGTTTGTTTGAAAGGTAATATTAGTAACAATTATGTTTGTGCGTGTGTGTGTATGTTTTGTAAATTGTTGAATATTACAAATTACGTTACAAAAAAAAAAAAAAAATATTACAAAAAAAGGGTTATCAATATGTTGATGATGATGATGAACAATAATAATAATAAATCCTATCAGATTGAGCAAAAGTTTTTTTCGTTTCGTTTTGTTGTTGTTTACATCATTATGAAATAGTAGCGATAAGTTTGATTACGATATGTGTGTGAAAAATGAAACAAAAACAAAAAATGAAATGGAATAATAGAAACAGAAACATGAACAGAAAAAAGTGTGTGTGTCGGATATGGATTTTTGAACAAAAAAAAAGGCATCCAGGAATATTAAAAAAAAATATATCACTGATCATCCATCGGCTTCTTATTCGTAGTTTGTTTGTTTGTTTGTTTTCAACGATTCATGAACAACTACCACGAATAAAATTATTAACTTCATCATTAATATCAATATCATTATCCAATAGATTACATTCATGACGATCATCATTATCAATAATATTCATTGGTATTATTATTAATTCTTTATCTTTTGATAATGATTCAAAAAATGATGTTTCAGATAATGACCAGAATTCGGATTTTGGTGATACATCTAATTGAGAAAAAAGGGAAAAAAGAATTATCATTATAGAAGTTTTTCTGATTTTTCAAAATATTTACCTGCTAATGCAGCTTTAAATGAACGTGCTGGATATTGTTTAAAACGATCATCCAATTTATAAATTTCATTTGTTAATATTGGTGTAACCATACCATAATCAATAAAAAAACATTGACTTGTTGATTGATCCGAATGATTTACCACTTGTATTCGTGCCCAACGTTTTTCCGATTGTTCTAAAGTTGATGGAATTTTCGCTACACCATAACGATTATTTTCAATCGATGTTGAATATAATTCAATTAAATTTATACGATTTTTATCATTATTATAAAAATGATTTAACGATTCTTCAAATTCCATAAACGATACAATAATATCCGGATTATTTTTTATCAGATAAAAATTACAAGGTGTATTGATTTCACCAATAATTACATCATCGCCTGCATCAACTTTTGCATCGGGTATACGTAAATTATCATTTATATTTAAATTTTCCAACGGATTATTATTATTATTATCAGCATTATTTGAATGATTATCAGATGATCCATATAGATTATTAATAATTTTATCAGTATCCAATGATTGTGATCGACCATAATATAATGTTGTTGAACCTTTAAAGCGATTATCGTTATTATTATTACCATCATTATGATCATTATTATTATTAACATCGGCCATTTGTATATCATTTTCATGATGATTCATCATAGCAAATTTTTCGGATAAATTACGTATTACATTGAAAACTTCATCCGAACGCATTCGTTGATAATAAATTTCCATTTCCATTGTTTCAAATTCACGATAAACCGAGAAAACTTAACCAAGAAAACAAAANTTTAAATTATCCAACGGATTATTATTATTATCAGCATTATTTGAATGATTAGGATTATCAGATGATCCATATAGATTATTAATAATTTTATCAGTATCCAATGATTGTGATCGACCATAATATAATGTTGTTGAACCTTTAAAGCGATCATTATTATTATTACCATCTTTATTATCATTATTATTATTAACATCGGCCATTTGTATATCATTTTGATTCATCATAGCAAATTTTTCCGATAAATTACGTATAACATTGAAAACTTCATCCGAACGCATACGTTGATAATAAATTTCCATGTCCATTGTTTCAAATCGCAAAGAAAACTTAACCAAAAAACAAAAAAAACAAGAAGAAAAAACGAAACAAAACAAGAAAAAAACCAAAGAATGTCACAGGTTAAACACACACGCAATCGAACACACAACAAAAAAAATAACATTCGAATGACGGAAATCGAATTTTTATAACCAGCCAGCAGCAATGAGCGAGTTGAGTGAGTTGACTCACACAGTGAAAAAAAGTGAGTAAAATTTGGTGGCGCCAGTTGTCGCTTTTGGATAAAATTTCCATTCATAAACATGATTATGTCGAATTCGAGTTCGATTTCGAATTTATTCGGCTTTTTTTTGTCGTTGATAAACGCGTGTTTTTTACATGCGTTTTCGTTTTTGATTTCGTTTTTTACATTTAGTCATCATAACCTGATGAATCTACAAGAGATGATCTTCAGCACTGCAAACAATTTTCAACCTTGATTCATGGATGTGTAATATGTGACGAAGTTATCTTTAGAACTTTAATTCTCCGAGTGGATTTTATGATGGAAAAAAGTTATCGACTATTGAAAATAACTGATTATATCGATGAAATCAATAAACGGTATTCTGGGAAAATGTGAATTATCCCGTTTAGAATACTTACATCTGAATTCAATTGCTCCACCAGAGTATTTATTTACATTCGCAATTGATCGGTTCTGTTAAAATTTATCGATAAATATGCTTGGCTTGGAAAAATAAAAGGAATTACCGCACAGATACCGAGATATCAATTCAAGTTTGAAAAACGCAATAATCCCAAGTCCCTCTGTATTATCTAAAAATGCCTTATTCATGTCCATTGAAACTCAGAAAAATGGTTATCGATCATAATATCGAATTTGAGCAAATCAACGATTGATATTCAAATGGAAGAGAAGAAACGTTTGTGATTGATTTCATTAAAGATTTCACCTATAAATACCCTATCAATATTATATACCGCAATCATATATGAATATAGATTCAAACAATACATTTTTACGACTATTGTCGAATATTTTGTACCATAGTTTACCTGCATTTAAAAAAAAAATCATATCATTTTTGTAAATGATTTTTAATACTTTTTTTTTGTTATAAAAGTTTTTTTTTTATTAAATAAACAATTTTAAAGAAAAAACCCAGTCGTATTTTTTACAAATTTTCTGCCTGAGAAATTTTCTTTTTCGTTTTTTTTTTGTTGTTTTCGAAAACAAAAGTCTATTATTTTATGAAAATCTAATATTGCTGTAGTGTGAAACCCCCCACCCCCCTATAAAAGATATTTTGCGATGTGGATTAACGATAGAGGTCGGTCATGTTGGATCGATTTTAGCCGGTTGTTGTTGTTGATGATTATGATGAATAAATCCATGAAAAAATTCCATAGGAATCTAAAAAAAAAAATCAGAAATCGGAAAATTTCCAGAAACATTCTTTTTGTTGTTGTTGAACAAATAAGAAAAAATTTTACCGGAAAAATTATTGTAGAATTTTTTTCACCAGCAATTGAATTTAATGTTTGTAAATAACGTAATTGTAATGCAGCCGGACTATCCATCATAATATCGGCTGCTTGTTTTAATGATTT